GCGTTGCCCTTGTCATCCTCCGCACCAGCGCGCTTGCCATCCGCTATCTTGTTGGCCTTGTCCTTGGCGACCTCGTTGCGAAGCGCTTTGATCTTCTCACTCACGGACTCCTTGGTTTCCATCTTCAGCCCCTTAAGACCGCCTCGCCTCAGGAGCTGCATTTGGACGCATGGATCAAGTTGAGAGAACCGTCCTTGCAAACCAGCATGGGAACGTTGGCAGCCCTGAGTCTGACACCCCAGGTGGGTCAGCGAACCCCAGCAAAGGAGCACACAGGTGCCCGAGCCTTTGCCTGGTTGAGCTCATCCTGAGAGAGACGGGGACCCCAAAAATTCTTCAAAGTTGGCTTCTCTCGGCACCTGCATGGGCCCCAGGTCCTTTGTCGCCTCGACGGCCTCCTTCCCAGGTCATACGCCACAGCATCCGTTCTTGACGTCTTTCGATTCGCGGGATCACCTCCGTGGCAAACCAGCCTTCAGGGTTCAAGAGGTCGAAAGTGCGAGGGAGCTCCAGCCAGGCTTGACCATGTTCATTGGGCAACAATGCGAAGAACTTGATGTCCTGCAACGGCATGGTCTCCCGCCCAGCCTCCTTCTTGAGAAGGCGTAGAATCTCCCACATCATTCTGTCTTCTGGCACGTCCCTCCTCGAACTTTGTAGGGGGAGCCGGTCGCTGATCAACCCCTCCTTTGTTGGCTTGAGCTTCACGCGTAAAGGCGTCCAGCTCCGCGTCGGTGTATGGAATGAAGTCTGTGCTCCCGGCTTCCAGCGAGTGCTTCTCCTGGCTACCCCAATAAGGGCCTGCAAGACCAATGGCCAGCCGATTGGTAACCTTCTGCTTGAATCCCGCCTTCCGCCTTGGTTGAGGCACCGATCTGGGCGGACAAAAGGGCATTGGCTAGAGCTTGTCCTTGTTCTCCCGCGCCCACAGTGACCTGGTACTGGTTGCAAGCCCGAAGCAGGAAGACCATTTCCTCCGACTGTCCGTTCAAGCCCTTCAGCGCGCCGGAGGGGGCAGAGGTTGTGTCCGTATGACTCTTAACCCCAAAAGAGGCAATCTCCGCAGTCTGCGACTTGATGGCCCTCGCGATGTCCTCCATCGTGCCCGGGTTCTCGTCCACTGGGCGCACGGCGCCCGCCTTCCGGTCATAGATGGCTGGGGCCGCGATTTTAATTTCCGAGCTTGCCACCGAAGAGCGTCTCGAAGGCATCGGTTGATCATGTAGGCTAAGAACCTCCCAAGACTTCGCCGGGCTTCCCTTCGTGGAGGTTTCTGAGAGAGGCGCGCTGGCGCTGTCCGGCTGTGGGCGTTGCCAAACCTTGATAAACTTAGAAAGGGCCCTTCTGCCCCCTTTCCTGTTCGAGGAGTGCTTGCTGAGCCAAAGCTGCTGTCACCGAAGACACGGTCAAGCCCCTTTCGGTCGCCAGATTCATCCTGACCTCCTCTTCCGACAAGCCAAGTCCCCGGCCCTCAGCGTACTGGTTGAAGAACTTTTTCAGCAATGGTGTCTCCACGTCACGAGGGGGGGAGTCCTGCAGGCCAAGTAGGGCCAAGTTGCGTTGGATGCTGGACTTAGGCGTACTTCCGGGGGATCTCCTCGATGCAGGACCTGCGCTGTCTCCCTTTACCTCCTCAAGAAGCTTTCGGATGTCACGTAGAGCAAACTGACCTCCTTGTGATTCATGAGGAAGCTCGGGTTCTTCGGGATCGTCGCCAGGTCGCGTAACAGCAGGAAGGGCCACCCTCGTAGTCCGCGGAGACCGGCGCCTGGTAGGAGTTGAGGAAGTTGGCTCAGCATGGGACCTGCACAAACGAACTCCCTTGCTTTCATCTACTGCGACTCGATTGCAACCAACTTTGCTGCAGGCATGAACTCGCCGCTTACGTTCGTACTCAAAGGCATGAGCAGAGCAAAGTCTTGCCTGCCCTGAAGGGCAGAAACCATCCTCGCGGAGAAGCTCGAGGGTGATCGTCCCCTTCTCCTTGCAAGGCCCCTTGGAAAGGCGCACGTCCTGCTCTTCCTCGGACCATTTGACCTTGTGTGCATCACAGGCCACGTCCTCCGTCTCGGACTCGGATCCAAACTCAAGCCGGCTAACCTTCTTAGCCTCGGAGGCTGTCGCCCAGAACCATGTCCAAAGGGTACGCCCGGCCTTCGCTGCCTCGAGTTCGGCATTCTTCAGCTGGAAGCGCTCGGGGTTGAAGTCCTGCGCCAGGGCATATTCCTTGAAATGTTGCCCGTCCTCAGCGCAGTTCAGGCGGCGACACAGATGAAGCTTATCGTGGCCTCTGCAGGCTTCCACAATGTCCGGATCGCCCCTCATGGAGTCAGCCTCCACACACACAAACAAACCCGGAGTCCGAATCGTTTGATTGTCCGGGCCCACTTTGAAAACGTCGATCTTGCCCTCTCTTCGAACTAGCACCCACTTATCAGCAGAACCAGTCTTCTTAAAGGAACGAAGATCAGCTGTTTCGGGGATTCGGCCAGTCCCAGGCCCCAAGAACTCGGCGCCCGCTGCTTCAGGCACCCCTCCTGCTGCCCGCTGAGCCCAATACACCAAAGTCCCCAACTTCTTCACCGTGGTCCGAACAATCCAAATGATGCCCATGAGCACGGCTGAACACAACGAAATCACCGGCCAGCAAATTGCCCACATGTAATGCGCCATAAGACACACCAGTAGCAGCAAAACAAGCCGTAGAGCCCGTTGGCATCCACTCTTGACCCCTTGCCAAGCACTGCCGAAGATGACCCAGCCCAAGAAACTCACAAAGGCATCTGCTGCAACCCCAAGCCACACATCCCAAGGGAAAGAAGCCCCGGATTTGTCCTTCGCCTCTGGCCCTGAGAACCACGCCTCTCCAGCTGCCTCGGCCCAAGCGTAGCCGTCCTCGACTTTGTCTTCGAACCACTGTCGAGCCTGCAGCCAGATGTTCGGGTCACTGCGATTGCCCTGCAGCTTGGGTGACGTTAACTCCCCAACTTCTGAAGCCGGGAACCCATCCGCCCGTAACGGTCAAAAGAGTAGCTACAACTACGGGGGGTAGATGTGGCATAACGCCACCACCTGCCTTTGACAGCCAAAACTCTGCGAATCGTGCATCCCTTCAATGCACAAAAGCTTAAGTTACTTCCTAACTGTTCAATTAGCGGATTAGCGCGCCAAACGGACAAAAAGGCTGCTTCGCGCACCAACAGTGCAGGACTCGATGCCGAATTAGGCCGGCGTGGACGTGGTCAAGTTATGGCGGAAGTGGAAAACCGCACAGCCAAAACCCTCCGTAAAGACTCCCAAACCCTCAAGCCTAAACACCTGAGAAACCTAAACACCCACATTCTAAAGCCCCCCCAACCCCTGAACGGGAAACACCCGAAGCCCCAAGCCCTACAACCTCACCAGCGTGCGAAATTCTGAGCCCCGAACACCCCCAAGCCCTAAACCCTGAACACCCACAAACCTTAGACCGCAAACACTCCCAAACCCGAAGCCCTAAACCCTAAAAACGTTCCCAACCATAAACCCTCTGCCAAACCCTAAGCCTTCCTAAACCTTTAACCCTAGACCCTCGTAAACCCACACTCTAGACACTCCAAACCCCAAAGAACATTCCCAAACCCTAACTACGCCCTAAACCCTACTAAGCCCTAAACCTTGAACCCTGAGCCGTGAACCCTAAACCCACACTCTAGACATTCCAAACCCTGAGCCCCGGGCCTTTAACCCTCAGAAGCGTTAAAAAGACGTAAAGCCTAAGCCACAAACCCTAAATCCAAATACCCCTGCGACAGTTATTGGGAGGCTGTGGAAGTGCTGGAATTGTTGTGACTTGGTGCGGGAGTCGGACCCTTTTGGTGCTTAAATCGGGGCCTTTTGGTGCCTTGAAAGGGCTCGTTCTGTTGCTTGAGTCGGACTTGTGCTGCGCATGAACTGCTTGTGCGCGAATCAGGACTTTTCTGAGTTGGCAGGGCTTGAATCGGCGGTGCCCGAATCAGTAGCGCTTGAATCGTAGTGCTTGAATCGAGCCATCTCGCTTGTGCTGACAGACTGACGTCAAGCGGAACCTGACAACTTCTACTTGGCGTTGTGCTTGGGACATTACTGTGTGGGCATGATCACCCTGCCATTCTTCTTGCATCACTGTGCCCGCGTGGGCGCCAGAACTGACTGTTGGGACTGCTGGCGCCAGGTGCCGTTTTAGGTCATGAAGTCCAAAATTTACAGCAACAGGGGTGGGCCAGAGCAGTTCGAGGAGTGTGGTGGGCGAGGGTGGGGTTCGTATCATGGCCGATGTTACTCCGTTACCCTTTCCTGTGACTGCTTCTCGGCTTCTCGTTGCTCAGAAGTATACTTCACGCTTCCGCCGATGTCTTTCCCCGGCCCCACCCGTGTCCATGGATTTTTACCTTCTTCCAGCGCCCAACTTGAGTTTGTTGTTGGCGGGTTGTTTCCATGCGTGTACAGACATGTTTCTTATCCATTCTTATCCCGGGTGACAGAAGGCGGGCTTGCTGCCTTTAGACCATACTCAGACTTAAGGCTCTGCGTTAGAGCACTGCTGCTGTCTGCTGGCTTGTTGGGTTACAGCAACCGAGTAGGGAGCTACCCTTATGCCTTGCTGTTCCCCAGCTGGGTGGTTGCACACCATGGCACAGTCTCTCACCCTTCTTGAGGTTCCCGTAAAGCCCTACAGCCGCCTACCCAGAATCCTGATTCCCACTAAGTAAGCCAACATTGTTCAGCTGCAGCAGATGCCCGTGAGTCCAAGGATTCCGGAAGTACAAAATGTCTACATCGTGGGGAGTGCCTTCTAGATGGGCACGGTAGACTTTCGTGATCTTTCGTGTAGGCTTTCGCAGAATAAGTTGTCACAGTTGGAACCGAGCGCAAGCAAGTGGCATGCATGAACCTGCCTACTCACTGTCCCATGTCAAGTACTCAGTTTGCAAGACTAACAACCTTTGACTATGCATCTGCAGGCTGTTTGAGTTGCAGGCTCGGCCACGTCGATTCCAGCAATGACATGTGGCTCGCTTGCACATACAACCTGGGATATGCAGGCCGGACGTATATGTCGAGGGAAATCCGACTAGTGCGAGATTCGTTGCTGAAAGAAAATGGGTAAGATCACGGCCCACTTGCCTTCATGAGAACAATTCACATTCCAGTTGGGAGCCTGGAAATGGGCCAGGCTGTCAGATGATCCACATGACACATGTTACAAGCCTCGTCCTCTGGAGGAAGCGGCTGAGCCAGAAACGGCTTCCTGGGCTTACAGCTGAGTGACGTCCAAAAGAATGAGAGCTAGTGGGTGGGAGTTTTCCGGTGGCTTAGCAAAGCAAAGCGTTGCAAAACGGATGCCTAGCTTTGCGAATTCCCACCACCACCGCCACCGCCAC